CAGCAGTTCGCTCCGGGGCTCCTCCGGGGGAATGGCACTGTTCGCCCGTGGCACGCTGGCCTTGCCGGCCACCTTCTGCTCCTGCTCCCTCTCCAGGCGGAGTTTCTCGTGCTTCTCATTCTCCTCTGAAAGAGAAACACCGACAGTGATTAATGGCGCTTCCCTGACCTTCCCCATCCACAGGCCTCCATCCAGGCTGGGGACCTAACGGCCTGCGTTCCTCAGAGGGGAGCGGAGGCCTTGGGGGTAACGCGGCCCAGCCCACGGCGCAGCCCCAGCCCACGGCAGGACCTGTGCCCCCAGAGATCCGTCCTGTGCCCCAGCCATGCTGCACCTTCCATCCACTGCCCTTTCACTCCAGCACAGGCTATGTAAATATAAACCACGGGCTGCCCCCACATGCAGCCCTTGGGAGCAAGCTGCCGAGGCGACTCCTGGCTCCTCTGCCGTTTGCAGCAGCCCCCACATCCCCGGGGACGCCACGATCGCAGCGGCGGATGAAAAGCAAGAGAGCACCCGACCAACCTCCTTCTCCCTGTCCCACGTGGAGAGAAACGGCCTGATCCAGTCACTTCCCACTCCCAAGGTTCAAACCCGTAAATCCCACGGCCTTTCTGCCAAGGGCAACCATTACTGAGCTGAACAAGATTAATGGATCTTTGAGAGCTGTGGCAGGACCTGGCCGCAAGCCTGCGCCCCTTCCTCAGAGGGATCTGGTGTGGGTGCAGGATCAGTCCCTGCTTGCCCTTGAGCAAGCCTACCCAGATGGACTCAGCACCATGAGCGATGCTTACCTCTACAGCACCTTCCCAAAGCCCTCCCTGCTTGTGTCCACGTGTAAACACATCACTTGCGCTCTACCGTACAGCAGGAGAAATCAATCCACAGCAAAACATTTTCAATTCTTCCTTTTCTGTTTTTAAACTGGCAAAGAGCTACTGAGCATTTTACCAAGGAGCCCGCCCTGGCCCTGTGACAGCTCCAGGACAACACCGACGCTGGCTTCCAGGGAGGTAAGGACAAGCCTGGAGACCAGCCCTGGCTAACAGCATCCTGGGAAAAACCTGCGCATTTCAGGATTGCCTCCTAAACTAGAGCCAGCGTGCAGGAGATGGGAAAACGTCACGAGCCAGGCGTCCCCCGCTCCCAGCGCTGACCCAGGACACCCAACGGCCGAGAGATAAACAGCAGCCGCAGGACTGCAGCTGGTAACCAACCACCCATGCAGAGCAGGGCAGGCTTCTTGGGTTAAAATACCCTCTATTTTATATTATCAAGTGTAAATCTTAGCTGAATGGACTGACACAAGCCTGACGGGGCACTACTTTACTGCTGTGGATTTTATTCAAGCTCTTAAACTGAGCTTTGATGTGCATACGTTCCTGTGTGTTTTCAGAACACTAGACAAAGTAAATGAAATCTGTGTGGCCTGACTAGCAAAATAAACCTCATTAAATGAGATCCAGGTCTCCGGCTTTAATTGTGTGAACATAGCACAAATGAAATTTATTTATACAAGTCCTGTGGCGCCAGTGGCCCCAGCATCCAGACATCTCACAGCCTTAATCAAGCATCTCCAAACCCGCTGCCCGTGAAGCTCAGCGGATCCCATTCCTGACAGCCTCCAAGGAGTTGCAACAAGAAACGGTGCACCGACAGCATGCCTGGAGCCATGACTTCTTCATACAAATATTTGGACAATAAACGCTTACTTCATCAAGCAAGGCATCAGAGAAATGATGCATGCGGTCTGGTATCCTGCCTTATACAGCGGCCAATATCAGGTAGTTCAGAGGAAGCACTAAAAAACATCCCGAAAGAGGCTGGCCACAGGAGAAGCTTGGGCTTGACCTAAACACTGAAGTCAGAGTGTAAATTTAGGAAATGCAGTAGAAAAGCGTGTGTACTGCAACCTGGAATCACCAGATCACTCTCAAACCCCCAGTTATCTGCAAGAAGCAGCTGTACTAAATACAGCAAGTGGAACGAGGGGCAAAGGGCCCCCCGCAAGGCAACCTCTGGAGCTGCCCCCCGGGCGCCCCCCCCCCCCCCCCCGAGGGGCCCTGCTGCCGCTTGGGCACTTTCTCACCCAGCTTCTGATTTTGAGGGGTGTAGTGCAAAAGCAACAGAGAGCAATAAAGGGAACAAAACTTTTACTCCCGATTCTGAATGACCTTTGGTACATGTGACCGCGCAGCACCACTGTCCCTGATTCACAGGCAATGTGATTTCCTGACGTTCCCTTCAGCCCTGGATTTCTACAGCTTTCATCGTATTTCCTCCAACCTTCGACAAAGCACTTTGGCCCAACTCTGCTCGCTGGCTGCCCGAACAACTCTGCCCAGAGCCAGGCCAGGCCTGCGGCAAAGCATCCAAGACCCCCGGGTGGAGGTGGCCAGCGAGGAGTGCCCGAAGGGCCACGCAGCGTGAGCTTCGGCAAAGGCAGCCCGGCACCGTACCTGCTGGCGGAGGGGGGAAGGAGAGGAACTTCAAATCTTACAAACCTTAGCAGCCCTAGTTCAACACTCGGCTACAGCAACAGCCCAAGCACAAATGCCTCGTGAGACCAGAAATGAGGTCAAGCACCCAGCTGATGGGTAAACACCGCCCAGCACCTACACGAGGAGGAAGAACACCTGGATTGAGCTCCAGCACCAGGGCTGCTTCTCCAGTTCCTAACCCGGTGGCACTTGGGAAGGCACCACGTAAAATTCAGTGATCTGGAAGGATTTCACATCCAAAGAGCACTCTTCCCATGGCTGCCCGAGACTCACATCCAAAATTTTAATTCAGCTCCTCACAGCACCAAGTAGGAGGGTAAGTGAGCTCAAGATCTGACTGACTCCAAAGTGTGAGGTTGTTTAGACAGAAGCTCAGGGTCTGAACGCAGTATTTCTCTATATTTTCTCAAAATATTTCAGGGTAATTATCAACATTTCCTTAAAGGAAGAAGTAAAACAGGGCAGGGTAGCAAAAACCCCAGCAGGAACCCCTTGATGCAAACAACATAAATCTTAGCTACCGAAGATTTCAGGCTGGTTCAATTGAACAGCATTAATAACTAATAAATAAAAGCCCTTTGTCTGCAATTCTTTTGCTCCACTTTGCTGCTTGGTTTGCAGCCAGAGCCAACACGATGGCCCTGGCACAGGACGCACAAGGAAATCCAACCCCGGTGACCTGCTGACTAATCGTGTCTTCTATGTGCGTGTTTGGCGGCCCCGCCAGCGCTGGGGCGGCACAGGTAGCCGGCCTCTGGGATTGGGGGGCGTCCCGGACACCGACCCGGCGCCGGCCCCCGCCAGGCACATGCCGGAGGAAAGATCGCCCAACTTCCACTCAAGCGTAAGACGGGACCATGCTGGACAGGAGGGCAGCAGCAAAGCCATCCAGTAGTGGAAGCTCCTGACACTGCTCGAGGTCTGATGAGGACAGCAAGAACCCGCCTGGGCTGAATTCACTCCTGCACCAGCTTCTGGAGCTAACGTCGCGACAGCAGAGGATCTAGAAGGGAGGGCTGTGGCTGAGGTCTGCGTTCATGGCAACGCTCTCAGGAGTTGGCAGTGAAATTCCTACAACACATAATTTCCATTCATCGAGGAAGCCGAGACAACAGGAAAGTAAGGTTACAAGCGTGCAATGCTGATCAGAAATATTTATGTAAATGTCTCTGCAAAGCAGGTGCAGCCCTCAGGCTGCTGACAAGCTGCCAACAAGGCCTTTGGTGTTGCAAATCTTGAGCTTGAAGAGGCAGGAGTTGGCAGTGAAATTCCAACAACACGTAATTTTCATTCATCGAGGAAGCCGAGACAACAGGAAAGTAAGGTTACAAGCGTGCAATGCTGATCAGAAATATTTATGTAAATGTCTCTGCAAAGCAGGTGCAGCCCTCAGGCTGCTGACAAGCTGCCAACAAGGCCTTTGGTGTTGCAAATCTTGAGCTTGAAGAGTTTATTTCAAGGATTTTTTAGCCAAAATCTGACACCGGTGAGCCACTGTCCTCAGTGTCTGACTCATCCACGGGCAAAAAGGAACCACGCGATCGACGCCTCCGGTCCCTGAGCAGACTGAGGGGTCTCTCAGCCACCTCTTCCTGACGCACATCCCCGTCAGGACAGAAACGCCTCCACCGAGCTATGAAGATCTCTGCCTCCTGCTCACTTTGTACTCACACCTTGCAAACAAACTCAAGAGACGCTTTAAAAAAAGCCCCCTAGGGCGCTCTGCTTTTCCGTATGAAGTCAGTTCACCCACTTTCCTTCACAGATACAGATCCAAACGATGAACGGTAACCAGCGCGCCGTGTGCTCAGACACACGCACGGCTCATTCCTTCACGTGCAGCGCACTTGGGGCATGAGCTTCTGCAAGCCCAGTATGGGAAAAGCACGCAAAGCTTAGGGCGTTCTCTTGGGCTCAGAGGGACAGCTGAACCAGAAGGTGCACACCAAATTATGTGTCATTTCCACTCATTCTTGGCCCTCTCACAAAAGGGACTGAACGAACCGAGGGGGCGAACCAGCCCTGCGAACCCTCCGGGCATCGGAACCACAACCGAGGCACGAGGGGACAAGGGACCTCACCCTGCCCACACCACGCTGCCTGCCAGAAGGCCCGCGTCGCGAGAGCCGGGGAGCTCAGCCTGCCGGCCAAGCCACCGAGGCGGTACGCCGTAAAGGAGGACGACAGCAACGCCAGCAGCAACAGGTCGGAACAGCAAACCTCGTCGCAGGAGCACACAGAAACGGGGTCAGCGTTCCTGACCGGTGGACTGGTGCTATTTTAGGGCCCTGATGATCCAGGAATACACAGTGCCAGGCACTCTTAACTTTGTTACCTAATAATCTGCCGGGTTTAAATTTATCTCCTCCCTTTTGCCCGCCCTGGAAATGCCACCCGTCTGCAAGGGCACGCGCTGCCAGCGAAGGGAGCGGCCGTGCAGGCAGAGCCGCACGTGCCCCCCGCGCAGGGCCGGGGTACGTCGCCGAGCCCCCCGCCACAGCCGCGCTGCGGGAGCACTGCACGAGCATGCCTTCACGGTATTTTAATCCCCTTTTAAATGCTCCTGTTTCGTACTAGGGGCACTATCAGCACTCAGGATTTATCAACGGCATGTGCCTTGGCACAATCAAGCGTCTTACCTCTGTGTATGCTTAAAGGTCCCTCCCCAGCACAGGGAGAGAACATTACTTAACTTCATGAACAGTTACGCAATGGCAGCTCTGTGGTGTAACCCTCTGAATAGTTTGAGGCGTTTCTCTGAAGCCTTCAGTGCTTCTGGGAGCTTGTGCTGCACGCCATGAGCCACTACAGCCCCGGAGAGGAGTGCCCTGGGCTGCACTCACACCGGTTCTGCAGCAGCGTCACCCACAGGAGTCACTCCTGGTTCATACCAGGAAAGCGCCGAGGACAGAAAGAGTCTCCAGATTTTTTCCACCCCGGGGGCTGGCCTGGCTGCTCTTGGGGAGGGGACCGAGAGGAAGGGCAGGCTGGAGCCTGAAGGTTGGTTTTGTTTCTGCAGGTCCCAGACTCTGCAGGGGAGAACCAGGAAAGGGAAGATAAGAACGGAGTCAGCAGTACTGGAGACCAGTAATGCTCAGCCTGAGCCAGACTAACTCTGAGTCATAACCAAGGCTGCTGACACAGAGGCTAAGCCAGCAAACAGCCGCTCTCAAGCGCCTAGGAACAGGCTGGAGGACTGAGACCGCTCTAAAATTGTGACGCCCTTCTCTGAGCCCCTCCGAATTCTGCTTGACAACAGCACAACTCAAGCCCAACTTCCCTCTCCCATCTTTGCCAACACCACTGTTCAGCATCCATCCCTTCACACCGCCGCTTCTCCATCAGTAACGTGGCAGCCCTGAGGCACAGCCCTCCTCCCCGGGCCCCCCGGGCTCCCGGCTGCAGCAGGCGCGCACCGGTGAGACCACGGGGAAGAGCCGGCTCCGAGGCACCCAGCCCGCGGCTGTCCAGCCAGCCCGCCCACTTGCCGCTGCTCATCTGGGCGCTGCGTTCAGATCTCAGCTGCCACCAAGACGTCCCATTTTCCTTCCTAGTAACACAGGCTGGGCCACAAACGCCGTATTCTTAAAGAAAGGCTGACCTGCATTTTAAAAGCGCCCTACGCACAACGGCTACTGAGATGCTTCGCGATCAGAAATCAGAAGCTCGTGATACGCTCCAGAGGAGCGAGAGCTAAGCCAGCCCTCCCAGGCCCCCCCCACTGAGCTACCCTCACCGCACCGGCACACCGCACACTCCTCACACCGTATCTGCAGACGATGTCACCATTCACTACTAACGACAAAAATACCTGAATCTCCATTTTCTCAGCCAGAGGATGATGACGCATTTATGTCGTATCTCTAAAAGCAAAGGAAAACCAGCCTTCATACAAACTATCCCTCCTTAGCACCAACCAATACAGAACATTAGTGGTTTCAGCACGACGGGCTGATCTGCAACTCTTAGAAATCAAAGTGACCTCAGTATCCAAACCTGAAATAAATCAGGGAAATGACAAGATGATCCCCTTGCCTGAGAAAATCTAGGCTGCAGACACGCTTTGCTCCTACTTCATGGAGACAGATGGCTTACGAGGAAGTGAGTATTTCCCTTCAACAAAACCGTCGCAGCTCCTGGAATGCAGAAAGGAAGGTTGGAAAGACCCTCAAGAAATCTTGTCGTTCCTCTCCCAAGCCCCAAAGAAGAATCAACCATGATTAAATAATACCTGGCAGATGTTTCTCAAAGCAACAGCTTCTCAAATCTCTATGGATAATTTACATTGTCCTCTATTTGCTATTCCAGTGCTTAACTGAAACCCTGAATCAGCTCCAGATAGTTATTTTAGCTGCCGTTTGGTTACAGCTCTTAGTGGACAGAAGAAAGAAAGAAAGAGCCAGGATTTAGCAGTGCTACAAAGGAAAAGAAAACCAATTAAGACTGCAAAAAAAATAAAACCATCGTGGACAGCCTTATATATACACACAGACCACCCCAGCGCCTTCGGGCCGTAAAGGTGCCGAGCACGCTGCCTGCTGTCTCTGCTGCAGCACCGACGCTGGGCGCGCTGGACCGATGCAAACCCTTGTTGCACCAGCAAAGCGCTGGCTCCGACAGGCGGGGTGGGCACCAACAGCACATGACCGACTGCTGCCTGCTCCATCGCCTGGGGGAATTCCCTGGGCAACCACCAGAGCCACTTCTCTATGAGGTGCTGTCTCAACGCCTCTCCACCGGGCATTGGCATTTTTAAGAAGTAAGGAGAGAAAGTAACGTGTTCTGATAAACCGCTATCTGCAAGTTGAACAGCTTTGGTGTTGCTGTGGTTCAGAGCAAAAAGCGGTGCTGACGACAGGCAGGATCCGACCCCACCTGCTCCAACGCACACGAGGAAACCTGGCCCTGGAGAGTGTGACACAGCGAAGGCCGCAGAAACAGAGCCAACGGTGAGGCGCTCGAAACGTACCGGTCGGAAAAGAACGGTAAACATGAGCCACCTTAATAAACCGTATTATAAACAATGTACTCCTAGAACAAACCAAGAAGCCCAGACACTCGATGTACCCACAGAAGAGACTCCGAGACCCCACTTTGCAGAGTCTCAGACCCTCGTGATGCAAGCAGTCTGCAAACTTCTTCAGGTCAGACAACACACTGCTGCTATTCTACACGCGCTAGAAGGAAAGACAGGTTAAATGACTTCATGTCATGCACTGGGTCATGGCAAACCGGATCTGGCGGTTAATTACCAGCTTGTTAGGTAAGCATATTTGCTCGACACCAGTTCGCGTAATGTTCCTCAATCCCCGTGACGAGAACAACAGCCCACTGCTGCACCTTCATCCCAGGGCTGTGCCAGGGGTTGCTTTCACAGGCTGCTCACACCAGCCAGCTCCCTTCTCAAGGGAAGGCATGGAAACGTGCAGATCACCCTTCAGAATCCTATTTCCGTACTTGAGAAAGAAAAGGAGGAAAGAATCCAACTGCTCGTCAAAGCATGCTACACGTGCACAGGAGTCGAAAGCTTTCCTCCATCACCTGAACTGGCTGCACCAGGGCAGTTATCCCTGCCACCTCCGAATGCACACAGACATTGCTCTCAGTCAGAGCAAGGCTCTTCCCAAAGTTAACGTCGAACCCACTGAGTCAGCGTGCCGGTACCCCGAGAGGAGGAGCAGGTTCTCAAGAGGAGACCACATCCTCCTCCAGCACACATCATGGCATCGCTGCGATTCTCCCACCTTCACAACAAAAACCTTGACCCTCCAGCATCCTCTGCCGATGCTCCGGGCACACACTAGACGTGCATTCCTCATCAAAAACACTTGGTGTGGTCTTTGTTCACGCAGCTTCCCGCAAATTGACAAGAGCTCCATCTACGTCACACCTAAAACTACGGCACGTCCTTGCTAGCAAGATCCTGCCATTTGGCCATTGCAGTTTTAATCAGAGAGAAGCAAGCTAATCAAAACCAGAGGGACAGGCTTGTTTGAATGCTTCAAGCTGGCAGCTGGCAGCAGGAGATTTTCCAGAGGGATACCTGCTCTGCCCGAGTGTCTGACAGCACCCAGACCATCAACTGATCTACGCGAGGTGCTGCCGAGTCCTCCCAAACCTTCTCTTGTGGTGATGTGACTGCACTGATGCGAGGGGCCGACTGAACCAGGGAGTATTTTGTGCCGCAGTGGGAAAACCTGGTGTATTTTGAGCCGCACAAATACCCAGAGATTGGTCTGGAGATTTCATGAGCAAGGATGCACTTCTAAGACGCTAAACGAAGGAAACAGAGTCAAGAATGCGACCAGAATTTCATGTAGTGGGCATCAAATTGAGATGGTCCTGTTCACAGCAGGTGATTTTGGAAAGGTGGGAGAGAGCGCTACAGAGGGAGAATGAGTTTGATCTCTTTCCCCCCATCTCTCACTAGCCAAAGCAGAAGCAGCTCCCCTGTGCCTTGCCGAGGTCACTCCAGACAGTCTCCCGCTGTCCCTTGCCTCTTCTACACACAGAAATGCAAACACACTGCCCGGGGACACTGGGAATCCCACTGCCAGCACTTAGGTGCAGCTCCTGGTGCCACTATCCGTGTTGTGCACCAGGCGTCAGACGTGTGCTGACACACGGCACGTCCATCGCCTTCTGCAGGGTTATCACCACCCTCTGGGCTCTCATGAGCTACCACCAGATACACATCACGCTCCTCATGCAGAACCCTGAGCACAGAAACACGGAGGAAACAACTTTATCAGATGCTGCTATGAAACAGATCAGAGGCGGAAGGAAGGACAGGGAAAGCCCAAGGGAATCGTTAACGAGCGAGCAGAATGAGATGTACCATCTGCAAGGAGACAGACCCGACTGCAGTACGGGACACTCACCATCCCTACCCCATCCTCTACAATGCAACGCCGGCAGCTTCCACTCAGGAGGTGCTGTGGTGTCCAGTGGGTCTGGGGCTTTCGATACCCCAACCTCCACACCCAGCTAGGCAGGAGACGGGGAACCAGAAAGCTCAACTTTACTTCTTGCCTTACCAAGGCACAGCTTTAGGTAAGGCACTTCACATCCCTCAGCTCTTCCACCTGTGACCTTTCAGAAGTGCTGCAAAATTCAGCTAAGGACTAACTATGAAACGCTTTGATGTCCCTTGATGAAACACACGGTTTATCATCAGCAAGTGGAAGGGCATTTTGCTTTTTTTTTTTTTTTTTTTTGGGGGGGCAGTTTATCAGCAAGTGGAAGGGAATTTTGCTTTTTTTTTTTTGGCAGGGAAGTCCTGCAAACCCTGTAAGCTGTATTTTGTATTTGTATTATCATTCCCTTTCTAAGCACACCCTGTAAGCCTCTATGGGAGGGGAAGACAGGAGGTGACGAAGATGGGAGATGAAGGACAACTTATGTACAGTTTTACTTCTTCCCTCAGACCGCAGCTGCACGCGCGGCTCTGCCCTCAACCGGAGCCCCCAGACCAGCACGCAAGGTGGGCACCCAGCGCGCTCCTCAGCACCACCCACCTCAAATACCTGAAAAGTGACGAGTTAAAAACAAAGAAACCCTTTCACATATTGAGTACGATTACACCGTGGGAGTCACTGCCACGAGATACCACTGAAAGGATCAGAGCTCTCTTCAGTTTAAAAAGAAAAAGTTTTGATGTTTATGTAGCTTTGCAGGTTGAGGGAAGTTCAGCATTTTATAGGCACGACTCAACTGATGGGCCCCACAGTACAGAAGAAGGCAACAGCGGGGCTAAGGAAAACAGATTCCCAACATCCAGCCCTGCTGCTGAGCTGTGACGCAGAGCCGCTTCGTAAAACAATGAGCAAAAAAAGTTCCTTCAGTGCGTCGGGAGAGATGAACTGTGCAGAGAACGGCAGATTTGGCAGGGGTCCTCTGCTGCGGCCAGCGTGACTCCCTCATCCTCCACCACCAGGCCTGATCCAAACCACCAGGTTTGCACTCATCACAAAGGAAAAAAAGGGGAAAAAACCAAAGGAAAGGGTAAGCACAACAGCTAGCCTAGCACCTGAGTAACAAGAGAGGTCAGGATTACGTGAGGCAATTATTTTCAAGACGACAGCCTGCTGCCAGTTTAGTCCGTGGTTTGGGCAGGCCTGTGCAGACACCACAAAGTGAAGCTGGCGTTCGTGCCTAGCAGAGCTATTTCCACCTGCCACCGTGGCACCGGCGTCCTCCGGGGCTGCAGCGTCGCTCTCGTGTACCTGGGGAGCCTCTGAGCAAAAAAGATAAACACCACTCTATTTGCCAGGAGGCATTTAACTTCTGAAAGAAATCCAGGTGGGTGTGCTGCCTGCACGATGACGGAGGGCATGGCCACGTGCACCCAGGGATGCCCAGGACCTGCGCGCATCCTGAGCTGGCTGGCCACAAGCCAGCTCTGGCCTATAAAAGCCCTGCGGGGTTTCTGGAGATGCACCTCAACATCACACTGCTGAGACCTGCTGAGAGACACCAGAGGAGGAGCACACCGAGCTCAGCACCAAGCCGCTGCCGAAACACGGGCGCTGGGCGTGAGCTGGTCCCCTTCCTCACCCATCAGCACTAGGTGGTGGCACTACAGCCAGAGGAAACCTCTCTGTCACCATGCATCTTGTAACCAATCCCGTGCCATGAAGATGTGTGCCAAAATGGCAGGCAGATGAGATGGGAAAGGCCAAGACCATGCCTACTGTTCAGTCACCGCCCTTGCTGGCAATGTTAAAAACAAAAAGAAAGGCTATAAACATGATGAGCAGCATCAAGCAAAGCAGACAGCGCAAGCTGAGTGGGCCATAGATGTGTATCTATGGGAAAGCCCTCAGAAAACAAGTATCGGTTACTTGCAATTATGAATAAATTTGTTTTCTTAGATCATGAAACATTCTTGGATTAACCTAAATTCAAAGAAATCAGCCGCCCTCTAATTCACGTCAAATGTCTCTGGAGTTTGCAAATAACAGAGAGAGGATCTCAGTTTGTGGGCTTGTGCATGTGTAAACACACGCATTTACGTGCATGTCAGCCACGTGGTTACAGAAAAAAGGGGTTATCAGCAGCAACGTTGTGAAGCGTGGAAGCGCAGGCGTGGACGAGGCAAGAGCGCTTCAAAATCCTGACTCCCAAACCAATCAGAAACACTGAAGTACGTGGCCAACGCGGTGCACATCCAGGGTGTGTCTGTTACTGTCTGCATTCCCGTGGTGTTAGTAGTATTATAAGAAATGCATAACATCAACTGTCCCCCGCGCCTCCCCCCAAATCTGTTGTTTTTTTCCCATAAGTTAATGAGATCCAAATAAAATTATTACTAGTGTCATCCTTTACACAACATTTGTCATCACGTAGAACGGGTCTGCTGAGCATCTGACCCGGAGTACGGACGATGAGCCAAACCACCGAAGTTTCATTTTCGCTACATCTCTGCGTGTCTGCATCGATCAGCCCTACGCCTTCGCAGGACGCCCAGCACAAAGCACGGAACACCACCAAGCACGCTCACAGGGCCAGACCGGGCTGTGCAAGCAGCGCACAAGCGGCAGAGCCTCCCAAAACCACTATTTTAAGTCAGTAAATAGCAGAAACTTTTATGTTGTGAAAGTGTCATCAAGGGTGAGGATTCTATAGATGTAAAAATCGTTAGATGTATCTGCGTAGGTGTTTAATTAGTAAGTATACAATTCCCTCTAACTTAAGTCTGTCCCTCGCATTTCATTTGCTCCTGGTTTACTTGGGAGAGAACAACCAACCGCTTGTGCTGCGTCCTTCAAATTCCAGCAAGTGTTTTAGCTCTGAACTCAGCTTTGATATCGAAGGGCACAACTCAAGGATCCCCACAGCACTGAAGCCTTCTTCGCCCCACGGTCTCCATCACGACTGTACTCGACCAAGCTGTTACTCTTACGGGTACGTCTCAAGCTGCTGTATTTAGGCTCTGCTTTTTTTTCAGCCATTTGAAATTATGTCCTCTGAAATATTAATACATATAAGATGTAATATTCAACAGGCTTTTGGGTAAACATCTTGTAAACACAGTTTGAACCATATTGTAGGCAGCACCCGATTACCTCGGGACACAGGAAGGGGCACCGCTGCGTGCAGGCTGGCGGCGGGGCAGGCTCCGCAGCCAAAGCCGCCCGGGTTCCCCCGCGGTGGTCAGTGGCCCGCGGCAGGGCTGCACCCCAGCCACACAGGCAAACCCAAACAGCCTCGCAAACGACTCCCCAAAGCAATAAACGGCCCTCAGAGAGCTGACAGCACAGAACAAGATTTGCTCTGGTTATAAATTAAAAAAAGCAAAGTCTACGTGGTTTAATTTTCCACTGGAGGAAGAGGCTGAAGGAGCAGAAAAAGCCACCTGCCTTCCTGCCGGAAAACAAACCAGAGCAGAGCCAAGGCATCGGCCACGGCCAGGGCAATGGGACGTTCTGCGGCACTCGCGTCAGGTTTGAAAGCGCCTGGGCACCGCCTGCGTGCTCACGGAAAGCAGCACCTCGATGGATACAGCAGGACCCGACTCCAAAGTCGAGTGCTGCTTTATCTGCAGACCTGCAACATGTGGCATGCGCTGCACAAGGCAGCACGAGGGTGGCCAGGGACACCACCGCCCCGCTGCGCCGCCGGCCTCCTCCGGGCGCTGCAGGGGGCTCGTGTCAGACGTAGCACCGTGTACTACGTGGAAGGAGACGGTAGGTGCCGGGGCAGGTGCCGATCTCAGAGCTCTGCAGACACCGCTTTCCTGCCTCCTGAAGGACGCGATTCCATCGCGGGTTAGCCCAGGGAGCCCTCCCAGCATCTGTACCCTGCACTGCTCCCCAAAGCCTGACATTACTCAAGCTGCACCCCAGGAACTATCAGCCACAACAAGATGGACAAAGCAGTGACAAAAGCTGCTGGCCTGACCTCCCAGCGAGTCCAAGGAGAACGTGAAGATCCAACTGCCGTCTGCTTTCAGGGAATCCTCCATCTCCTCTTTTCAGAAAGCTCTCCTCCTCGGTTACGAACCGCAGCCCTCCGCCACCTCTGTCCAGCTGGGAAGCGGCCACGGCGCTCTCCGCGCAGGCAGACCGAGCGGCTACGCCACACACACTGCGTTCTCACCTGCAAGCACCCGAGCGCTCCACGTCTCCGGGAGTCCCCCGAAGGGGACCAGCCGTACCTTAGCCCTCTTCCCTCCCGAAGCCATTCTACTCTCTCCAAAACCTCTCTGGTTTTTCCTTCTATCAGTTCTCTTCCTCATGAAGACAGGACGGTGAACATCTGGCTCAACGGAAGATTTTTTTCCTCCTCTACTCCCAGGTTTGAAAAAGCAACAGCCTAAGCGTTTACGGCGTTTCACCGCCTGGCTGGTAGGAGAGCCTGGACGCCAGCTGGGCAGACCCACGCGGAACGACCACAGACCGTGCTCACCGCCGCGCCAGCAGGGACTCCTGAGCAGGTTCCCGTCCTGCTCTCCTGCCGGAGGCCGAGCACCCTGCAGCACCACTGTCAGCTTTTGAACCAGCAGCCTGAAATCGGTTTTGTTTTAGATTTGCCAATGCTGTTCCCAAATTGGGTTGATTTTGAGGCCAGCCTGGACCCCCAGAGCTGCGCAGTGTAACTGCGGGTGTAATGCAGACTGTAAGGCTTCTCTGAACACGCATCTGAAGGGGGAGGAGAGGAAGAAGGCGAGGGAAGGAAGCCAAACGAGAAGGCTTTATTGTCGCCCCAACAGTCTTTCCCAGCTATTTCTCTGCTTGTGCTCTCCCCTGACATCTTCCTGTTACCCGACGTTCAAGCGACGGGCTCCTCCCTCTCATGCCACACATCTTCCTGGTGCTCACGGCTTCCCTGAAGTAGCCACGTTTGCACTGACGCTGCTGCTCCACCAGCCCCTTCGGCCCCGACATGGCTGTTGCAGCAGAAACGGGAACTGTGCGTGGCAGCAGGACGCAACGCGCCCGCTCACAACCGAGGACGCGCTGCGCTGGGTGCAGGTCCTGCCTGCAGCGGGCTTTGGTACAAGCACAGCACAACCACGCGTCCTCGTGGGCTGCTCCCTGTGACTAGAAAGCCCGCCCAA